CTGTTGGGTTTTTAATAAGGGGTATAGCGCCAGGTATTGTGGCGCTATACCTGGGCGTGTCAGCTTTTGCAGTATAGTGCCACAATACCTGACGCTATATATTAACGGTACAGTTACCGTTAATGTATAGCGTCAGGTATTGTGGCACTATACATAAAAATATCTTATATTTTTTCTACCTATTTATGTACTTTGAGTCCAAAAGAACCACAATTGTTTTAAAGATGTTTTAAGTGTTTGGACCATGAAAAAGACTGAGGTCCACATGTGAGTGAGTCGTGTGTTTGATTGGGCCAACTTACCTATCCTAGGAGCTACGCCAAGAAAATGAAAAATACATTGGTGCAGTTTTGGTTCTTTAATTTTGCCTAAAATATTTAACAACCTCTGATTATTAGACTTAATATGAATTATATAAGATTTTAACAGAAGGTCACATTTTTGTCTCGAAGCAACTCACATTTGGATGTGCATTTTTTGCTTTTTTTGCTATTTCTGGAGTTTGGTGCAGCTTTTTGAGATGCAGTTTTCCTATTTTTGTGTTTGGTATTGCGATTTCTAGAATATGATTGGACTTCCCCGTTATTTTTTTGTTATTTATTTATTTATTTTACAATTTATGTTAAATCAAATCGTCTAAATCTATTAAATATTTAACAAACCAAAGTGTTCACTTTTGACAAATATAAAAGGACCAAAAATACTCAAAAGTATATTTAAGGGATCATTTTGAAGCTACCTCAAATATAAGGGACCAGCTAGGTATTTGGTGCACTATCTCCATTGACTTATCATTGGAGACAAGCACGCTCGTTCTTGTCACTGAGACCATTTTATTGTTCCATAATTTTTTGGGAGAATCTTCTCCATATTAAAATTTGAAAGAGTCAAATTTTATTGTTCCATAATTCTTTCCTCATGAGCAAGGAGCTCACCGGCAACATGACGTGTTGCTTTGTTTTGCGTTTGGACCTTTAAATTGTTTTTATAATTGTTAGGAGTTTGTCTTGATTCTTTACTATATTTGACTTTCCAATCTCTTGAAGGAAGAATAATATATTTATTTTAATTAATTTTACCTTTTACGACGAAAAAAAATATAATTCATTCATATTTGGCTAGTCCTTTTTCATGGAGGAAAAGATTTTGGGCTTCTATAAATTGAGGATCCTTCCTTCTCATTTAGTAGCATCCACAATATAGTCATAAGGGGTTTGACAGTCTTGTTTAGAGGAAATTTTTTGAAACAAGTATTATCCTACCACTTGTGTGTGCCTCTTTGTGAGGTTGTTCTCTCAATATCTTGTACTCTCTTTTATATAGTGGATTGCTCATCTTTGTTTATGGATGTAGGTCAATTGACCGAACCATATTAAATATTTGTGTCTCTTTTTGTATGTTTCTCTTTTGTTGTTGATTTATCGTCATTGAAAGTATGCGTTGTCAGTTTTTGCATGATATCTGATTATCTCGACATATCAGTGGTATCAGAGCGAGGTTTAAGACAGGTTCATCAATGCAGGTTTAGTTCTAGCCACAATATTTTTGACAGTAATCATGATTTTTGTCTAAGAAATTTGACCGAAGTACTGCTCACGTTGAAACAAATTTTGTAGTGGAGATTTGGAGAAGCGACATGTTGAATGTTATATGAAGGAGGTGGATCAAGTTGATTTTGTCTTAAAATTCAAACCAAGGGGGAGAATTGTTAGGTATTTGTCCTAAAAAAAAATTATCATATTTGATTTTCTTATCTCTTGAAAGAAGGGCAACATATTTACCATAATTAAATTTATCTTTTACGAAAAGAAAAACATAATTCTTCCATATTTGGCTAGTCCTTTTTCATGTAGGAAAAGGTTTTGAACTTCTATAAATTGAGGATCCTTCCTTCTCATTTAGTAGCATCTACAACGTAGTGATAAGGGGTTTGAGAGTCTTGTTTAAAGGGAAAATTTTGAGACAAGTATTATCCTGCGGCTTGTGTGTATTTCTTTGTGAGGTTACTAGCTCTCTCCATATTTGTACCTTTTATATAGTGAATTGCTCATATTTGATTTTTCTTTTGTTGTTTGATTTATTGTCATTGAAAGTATACATTGTTAGCTTCCGTATGACACCTGGTTATTTCGATCCCAACATTAATTATGTCTATTGAGTCAGTTAGCTAATTAATTTTTCACAGTTTTAAGAATTGAAAATACCAACATCACCAATACAGCACCTAATCTGTGCTTGGACTACACAACTTAAAAGTAGCTTGCGACCATCTTATTTTTCTTGAGTTATATAGTGTTTTACTAGGGATTAGATTAACTAACAAGACTATTTGCAAGGTTGCGCAAATTCAGTAGATTTTTCTTTTATTTTGCTATCCGTTTGATTTTGGGATTTCTGTATGAAATATGAATAGAGAGGGTCGTATTTTCCGTAATAGCTATGCCTGGCAATTTCATTTCTGGTTAACAACAAAAGAAAAAGAAAGCATACTATAAACTAATTATTCCAATTGACCTCATTTAATGAACCAATTTGGAACAATAATGATTCTTCACCTTGTTTTAACTCCTCGAACAAAGCGTTGTGTTTTTTTTTTTTTTGGTCAAATATCACTTTTAGCCCGCGCTAGAAACTACTTACATTCGGTTGCCAAAAAAATATATAAATTTGTTAACTTTTCTTATATAACATACAGAATGTATAAATATACAATAAGTATACAATTTTTTTGCTATTATTCTAAGAGCAACTATACAATGTCATTTTCCCCTTCTTTTTATTAAGTATTTTTTACATTCCTATGCCACATAGGAAACCTTATTACCCTCAATATTTAAGGTTTGACTTAATTACACTTAGTATACAAATTATCAATTCTATACCATAATTAATTAAGGGTATAATTAATTGTACGTTTTTTACTCCTTAATTAAAGGAATCTGTATATCCCAGTATCCCCACTCATCCCACGTTTCTCTCTCCTAACCCCTCAGCCCCACCCACGTTTTACCCATACCCACGTTCTTTTTACCATTTTCCATCTTCTGAAACCAAATTCTCCCTCTAAATTCAGAGAAAATTGAAGAAACCCTTCAACAAAGTTGGTTCCCCATTTTACTCCAGTTGAAGTTCATCAATGAAGACCAACAAAGCTTCGAAACAAAGTCCTAAAAAATCAGCAGTAGCTGATATACCCTCATTTGATTTGGGTGTGTTATCACCAAAATCACCCAAAAAGCAAGGCAAATCTCATGCAATTGCAGAGACTACTCATAGTTCCTCTCCCCGAAAAATCAGAGCCGAGATGAGAACCAAACAAATAACATGATGTAGATGCTGGAGAAACTTCTACCCCAGGCAAACAAGTCAAACGAAAAGGAAAACTACACATCAGTTTTAGGATGTATAAAGCAATATTGTTTTCATGATTATCTACAAAATTACTACATTTATACTACAATTAAACTACAATCTATGTTGAAAAAATGTTGACCACAAAATTTTTCTCTTCATCTACAAATTTTCTACAAAAATTCAACAAATATACTACAAATCAGTTTAAGTATGTATAAAGCAGTATTATTTGTAAGGGTATCTACATAATTACTACATTTATACTACAATTAAACTACAATCTGTGTTGAAAAAATGATGACTACAAAATTTTTCTCTTCATCTACAAATTTTCTACAAAAATTCTACAAATATACTACAAATCAATTTAAGTATGTATAAAGCAGTATTATTTATAAGGGTATCTACATAATTACTACATTTATACTACAATTAAACTACAATCTATGTGGGAAAAGATGTTGACTACAAAATTTTCTCTTCATCTACAATTTGTCGTTGCTGAGGTATTGTTCAATATTTTATCGCTTTTTTGATTTTTTGGATTAAGAAAAAAGACGACGAACAGAGTATCGGCAGAATTGATTTCTACAATTTGACTTAAATTTGTTGAATATTTTATCGCTTTTTTGATCGGTGGATTGAAGAAAAAGGTCGACGAACTGAGCTTTTGCATAACTGATTTCTACAATTTGATTCGAATTTGTTGACGATTTTGTCTTTTTTTGATTTGTGGCTTAAGGAAAAATATCGAAGAACAGAATTTTTACAGAAAAAAGTCTATGTAATTTAATTTTAAATTGAAGATAAAGGATTTCTGTTTCAAATTTGATCTGAAGATCGCTAAATCAATTAGAATATTCTGTTCCTGATCTTAGCGCGCCTAATTAGGAAAATTCAGCTACTAATAATTAGTATTTAATGAATGATATAATAATTATAAAAAAAGTATGAACATGACGGATAAATTAAAAACTATGCACACATTTGATAATAAAATTTCATATATGGTATAAGAAGGAAAAAATCCCTTTTATTAATTAATGTGAATTTTAACTTTTGTGTAACTCTTCCTAGCAAAGCGCTGTTTATTTGTGAACATTTACCCAATCTTTAACATTGCTTATGCCAAATTGACATACTTAACCTCTTCTTTCACCTTTTTATTGGAATGAGAAAGATTGAATGCCTTCCTCTTGTCTGTCCTTCCAGATAAAATGATCAGATAAGATTTCAAACATTTGACAAATTACATCATTGCAACATTGGAACATATTTGAGTTAGTTCTCAATGTTCACATCACCTCCGGTCCTGGTAAGAATATAATGATAACAGAAAAGTACCATAATAACTAAAGAATTAAAGGAATAGTGTGATAGGAAGGGTCGCCGTGTAGGAGAGCCAGAGGCATGATTCTGCAAAAGGAACCATCATGTTACCATCAAAAGTACATCAAAATTTTCTTTTAACCTTATTTACCTGCTGTACAGTATCAGCATGTTAAAGCATAAAGATTTCAAACAGAACTCTCACCAATTGTCATTATTATTAAAAGGATTGCCGGTATATTTTTCAACAATCCTAAAAGTGATTAACCAAACACCTTTTTTAGGAGAAGAAATAGCAACAGCAACAAGAACACTTCTTTGAAAACTAGCAAACGCTGCTTCATTTAGGCTCAGACACAACAGTACCAAATAGCATCCAAGGCCTAAAAGAGTCTTGACGCACAACAACGCAAACGCGTTCTGCACAGGGCAACAGAATGTTACTTGGAATGACATTTATGACACACACCAAATCCACCCTATGTTTCATCAGAAGACTGCAATGACATTAATTACGTGAGGAAAATCAGCAGAAGTTTTAGTTACATGAATTCAACAAAGAGGATCTATTTATAACAGAAGACAGACGACTTCTCCTCTTCAAGAGTTTGTGTGCTCAGCCATATTCATTTTGCCAAAGACCAGTCTCTACTGCTTTCCCTTCTCCATTTCTGATCGGCGAAATTCTGCACAGTAGGACCAAACGGTGGACACCCATGCGCTGCCCAAAACACACAAATACCTCCACCAATCAAGTAAAGAAAACTATCAGAAACCACAAGGGTAAAATCCTACCCAGTAAAAGATCTTAGTGCCATTTGACAAAATATTTTGCCTTCTGCAGCATTTACAGTCTTTCCACCACAGCAGTGTGATTTCTCGTACATCCACTCTCCATTTCCTAGCCTTGGCATTCTACTGAAAATGGACCACCACCAACTTCAAGGAGCTGTACAACTTATATTTAGTCTTTTCCTAGTCTGGAGTGGGAACATACACAGATCTATTTCCTTGAAACATGTTCTTCCACCCCCTTCCCTGCCAGTACGATGAGCTTTTGGACTTGCAATTCCAATCTACCTGCCTAGAACCCCACGAGAAAATTCTTAAACAAAGTTACATGCCTTTGCACTTCTATTTCAGCCCTCTGGCGGGAATTGTAGCCAGGCTCACATGTTCTTTCTGGTCAGAAACAAATCAGGGGGGGCAGGGGGTAAAAGTAAAAATAAAAAACAAATTAAAAAGAAATTGTGAATAAGCTTAGAAACTCAACCGGGGCCTTAACCATTAATAACCCTTTCTCCGTCCAAAATAAATATCCTTACAATGAGGAAGAGTCGACAAAGCGAAATTTCAAAGCCAACACGACTATTAATTTTGAACAAAAGAAATATGGAGGTCATGACTTCTACCAGTTACAAGGATTCAAAGGCCAAAAGCGTTTCCCACATGACTTTTACAAATTAACAGTTTAATGAATGGCAGTTGTGCAGTTTCGATTGCAAACTAGAATTACAGTTATAGTCCCTGCTGCTCTCTGTTTTAATGCACTACATAAACACAAAATAAAACTAATCAACACGGCAGAGATGTAAGACAAATCTAACACTAGTTCTTTCTTTCATTGATCAACAACAACAACAAACGCAGTGAAATCCCTCTGGGGAAGGTAAAGTGTACGCAGATCTTACCCCTACCTTGGGGAGGTAGAGAGGTTGTTTCCAAAAGACCCTCAGCTCAAGAACAGTGAAAATGAAGTAATAAACAGACAACATTCTTTCATTGATCAACTTCCAAAAATAACACTAGCAACAAACAAAAGATATTCCCGGTTTTGCCTCTAAAAGTACCAAGAGATGATAACAACAAAACCATTATCATCTTTCCACAAGACTAAAAAATTGAAAGAACAGAAAATCAATACAGCCTGAAACATATAGGCTCAAATTAAAAGCCCCCATCTAGAAAAGAATGCACAAGATATCATATAGAACATTTGTACATCTCTAGCAGATGAGGGCAGCAAAGTACCTTACTGGCTTGGGCAGACAGTACGAGTATCTGAAGTATGGAAAATAAATTTGAAATTCTATGTATGCCAGGTTGTAGATAAGCTCCTCAACCTGCTTTCCTTGATACTGCAGTGACATTTGCAGAATTCAATTCTACAGTAAAAATTGAAAATTCTCTAATATAAATACGAAAAGAAACCAAAAAAATATAGATTTGATTGTTTGGCAAGCAAGCCAAACGGGTGATGGGTATAAATGTTCCCAGAAGTGAGAACAGATTATACCATAATACAAAGTCAAAAAACAAAAATGAATGCAACCACCAACGCACACCTACATAGGTAATCAGTCTCAAGGAGAAACCAATGCATTGAGGAACAAGCTAACTTACAATTTAGATAGTGTCAGCAAAAATAACAAATCAACAGTTTCTTTTTGGGGAAGAAAATTAACGTTTCTTTTTGTACGTTAACTAATCAATAGTACTTAGCAAGATAGAGATCTTATTTTATCTTGTTTGGCAGAACTTATTAGATAGGAACAGGATAATACTTGCAGCCAGAGCAGAGTGGAATTTGCCTCTGCGATACGACCTAAAGACAACATAACTTTGGAATAAACTTCAAAAGACATAACTTAAACCAAAATCTTAAGATAACAATGTCATCCACAAGAGGTGATATCATGTGGGTGAAACTTCAAGTCCATGAGCAAATAAACACAATACTTTAACAAATCTTATTTATTTGGTAATAAATCCCACTCAGAGATGCTTCGGATACACCTTTGCCTTACTTTTCACTGGCATTCAGTCATGTCTACATATTATTAGTAACTTTTATTATCAATATTAATTTAGCAGTCAATAAATTCAGAGAGAGAAGTCAGTCCCTAAAACATGAAATGAGAATCATTCCTACAGAAGAAAACAATCACGCTGAGTGTTCATATTACTATCACCATAAAAGCTGGAAATTGAACTTCCAAAGTTAGATCTCTTAAACAATTTCGAAAACTTCAGCATGACCATCATCACATTTGAAACTGGACATCACGGCACAGAATCCTATAATCATTCAGTACTAAGGTTTATCATAAAAAATAAAATATCCCATGAGAGATATATTACTCCCTCCGTCCCAATTTATGTGGCGGTGTTTGACTCGGCACGGAATTTAAACAAGACCTAAAACTTGTGGTGTAAAACAAACCAGACATTTTTGTGGCTGTAAATCAATTCATTAAGGGCAAAGGAGGAATTCCAAAGGTAAATTGCTTTTAAATAGGGAAAGGTGACATTCTTTTTAGGACTGACAGGAAGAGTGCCACATAAATTGGGATGGAGGGAACATGCGTCATAATCATTTGTGGTCCAGCATTGATGTACTCGACCATGTAGAGGGAGAGTGCCAGAAGAAAGAATGTGAAGTAAACAATAGTGAAGAGTCAAGTTGCTAGCATGGGGAAAAGTGAAGCGTTTAATACTGATGGGAAAGCAGATATGTCATCCTTGATTACTATCCATGTATCTAGATACAATCATTACCTTCAAATGTGCAATAGTTTTCGTGAATTCTTCGTCAATGAAAAAGCTAAGAATTCCCCATCTGCTTTACACCATCATCTCTTGCAAACAGAATATGAAGATTAAAATCGACATACTATAAGTACGAAACAGATCCATATGTTTTGAGTAACAAAATCAATTTCAAGAAATTGTTTACACTGCCAATAGGAAATATGTTACATACACGAGTTTCAATCGAAACTGTTCCTTAATAGGTAAGCTCACTATGCCACCCCTGCCATGCGTGCAGTCTCAAGAGTTTGATAAGGCACCAGCACCCAGTAAGTCAACCTGCAACAGATCTGATAATGCACAGCCAAAAGAATTGTTTCTCGATCTAAATGTCAGATAAGCCTGCTAAAAAACAGCTGAACTGATCGTCTTGCAAACAATTTTAGCAACTTCCTTTCAATCATAGCTCTCACCTCAACCACATCAACCCCATGAGTATTAGAGAAAGCAAAACTCAAACAGTTACTGAGCACTATTCACTTATCTTAGCCAAACAATCCACCAGTTCCCAACACCCCTTGCTTCAGCTCCTTTCTTCGCTGCTCCTCAAGAGGATCTGGACTCTTCATTACTCTTCGCACACGCCTACAAACAAAACATTGAAAATCAAATAACTGTCCAAGGAGCTAAACAAACTCCCATCTAATAATTGGCATTGACAGAAGTTTTACCTATCTTGTGCATGCTGTGCAGGGAAAGTAGGCATGAATTCTTTAGACTTGGGGAGAGGAACCTCACGAAACCACTCATGGTTTAAAGCAGCATCGGCAGTTATTCTCTGCAATATGTCACACAAACAATAATCAAAAAGGATAAAGACAATGAAGTACAAAATTTTGAAGTTCCCAAATGTAATGGCCATCACCTTCTCAGGATCATAAGTTAGAAGCTTATTCAACAGGTCAAAGCCAGCATCAGATAGGACTGGTAGCCCAGTGAAGGATGTAGCGGGAAATTTTTTTCTTAACGAATTAAACCTGACACAAACCAATCAAATGGTTAGTAGACACATGAAAATATTTTTCCAGCAATAGATTGTCATCAAAGGAGGCCAGAAAGCCAAACCAGAATCACCCAAAGCTGGAAGCCTGGGAAAACAGTGGCAAAAATAAAAACATGAATCTCCAGCCAACAAGAACAGGGATAGAATATGCAAGAAGATGATACTTACTGGTACTTTACAAAGTTGACCTTCACCCCAGGAAGCTTAGAAAACCCTGGCCAAATTGTCTCATTTGGGGTTCCGAGAATTTTGAAAATCTGGTAAGAACAATCCAACAAATGCATTAAGCTGACTTGAAATCTCATGGTAAATGATATCCAACATCATGTAAAATTCTCCATAAGCTGCTAGAAAAGATACCTTGTCGATTTGATCAACTTCGGTTTTTCCATTGAAAAGCGCTTCTTTGGATAGCATTTCAGCCATGATACAACCCAGTGACCACATGTCAATTGCAGTAGAATATTGTTTGGCTCCCAAGAGAAGTTCTGGCGCCCTGTATGCATAAAAACTATTCAATCACTGGCTGAGAAAAGCCAGATGGGCGAGAACTCAATAGAAACCTTCATCTACATACAGACACACATCGACAAAAACATGAGTATCTACTTAAATATTTTCAAATTAATGAAGAACAAAAAATGAAGCTCACCTGTACCACAAAGTAACCACCAAATGAGTGTATGGTTTCAGGGGGCTCCCATATTGACGAGCTAAACCAAAGTCACAAATCTTCAACTCACCTCGGTTGTTTAGAAGCAAATTTGAAGTCTTCAGATCTCGGTGAAGGACCCAATTATCATGAAGATACTTGATACCCTGCAAAAGCTGGAGCATAAGACATTTGACTTCACTTTGGCTAAACGGTTGTTTCATTGTCTCCATTAATGCCTTCAGATCATGTTCCATGTACTCCATCACCATAAAAATGCTGTCAAGACTGCTTCCTACAACTACTTCTTTAACATCTACAATTGAGGGGTGATGAATAGAAAGAAGAATGTTTATCTCCCTTAGAGATGTCAAGGGAAATCCTTCTCGTTCCTTCTCCATCTTAACCTTCTTTAGTGCAACAATTTCTCCTGTCTTCTTATCTCTAGCTCTGTAAACAACACCATAGGTACCTTCATCTATCCTGTTAAGCCGCTCGAATTCATCGACACTTCTACACCCCTGCAGCATGTTTACGCTCCTTTGTGGAGGAAGTGCAGGCTCTGGTATACCACGAGAATCATGTTCATCTTCAGATTCTGTATCTGACTGGCTAACACTAGTACCATCATAATTACGGTCCTTATCCACAACCATTGAGTCATTCTTATCTAAATCATTGTCCTGGTAACTATCTCTGCTGGAAGACCTAATATGTTCATCTGAATCCGAGGACCTTGCTCTATTTCCTCCAGAGTTGTCTCTCTTGAGCTCCCCAAATTCTGGAGTTAGTGATTTCCTGTGTCCACCCATTTCAGCTGACTGTGAAACTGCTCGTTGCTTCTTCAATCGAGGCATATCATCATCTGAAATCAAACCTTCATCAGCTGGAGAGTCAGCGTCAGTTGCCCATCGAGACGCTCTTATAGTCGGCACGTATTCATCTTCTTCTACTATCCTGGCATCCTGCTCGGGCAATCGCTCTTCGTCAGGAGGTGGTGAACCTATGTCAACTGGGGATTCAGATGCATCAACATGTGAACCAAGTGCTGCATTTGGATTATGTTGGGACGGCCCCGTGCTCTGAATAATATCATTATTATTATTCAATGGCGAGACCTGCTCAACCCTTTCTAAGGGAAGGTTAGGCGACTGGACAGATGACTTCGGCAATGGAGGCGGAGGAGGTAGCTTAGCAGCTGCTGATGAATTTCTACTCTTCGACATTCTATTCGCTTCCTTTTCATCCCTATCCCAGATAATTGGAGAGAATTTTCGTTTCTTGCTCTGTACAGGTGACTGGTTCCCATTGGCCGCATTCTTGGTCTTCCGGTCCGAATCAATAGCCCCATCAGACCCACTCTCACTAGACAGTTCCCCAGGCTCTCGGTCAACAGCCCTGACACTAAACCCACTTCTCCCCGCTCCACCGTCACTACTACCAGAATCACTCCTGCTTGACGTGGACCTATAACTGCCATTTATGACCTCCCTTTCTTTTACATCCTTCTGTCTCAACCTACCCCTATCTCGACTACTCCTGTCGTGAACTCGATCCCTATCAAAATCCCGATCACCATTCCTAATTCGATCATAATCCCCCTTAGGATAACCAAGCTCCTTCCTTGAAACCTCGAACTCAGCCTCACGGCCCCTAAATTCATTATCCCTGTAGCCACCATGTCTTCCAGCAGCCATAAGAACGTCTATATATCAAAGAAAACCCTAATCCACCTATAAACCCTAACCCTAATTTCACAAACAAAGTCAACAAATCCTAGCTCGAAAAAAACGACTTAATTGAAAAAACAATAACAGTTTACAGATCTGGTAAAAACTAATCAAATATCTAAAAATCAAATTGAAATATTTTCCTTTTTTCCTAATTTCTTTTTTTTTTTTTTAAACTCTCTAGAAACGACAGATAGAGGGCGAAAAACCAGAAACCCTAGAAATTGACGACTAGAGTGTAAATTTACGGTCTTCTCCGGTATGTTATTGCTGAGATCGGAAAACTTACCGGTGGATCGAAGCAACCAGAGGTGGCGGCGACGAAGCTCTTACAGAGAGAGAAAAAGAGAGAATATGTGAGTTGTATTGCAAATTCGGAATATGAAAGCGAAGGGAAAGTCCCCAGACCGCGTAAAGTGGAGTTTTAGATTAGATTCGAGTATGTTAATTGCTCTTAGACCCCCTATGTTTATCAAATTGTTCATTTTGACCAATACATTTTCTTGCATGTCTCTTCAGCTCCCGGAAGTCGTTCTCACGAGTTTAAGCTAGCGTTTGGATATAGATTTGGTTGAAATTTGAAAAAATAATTTTTGAAGTAGTTTTGAAAAATAATTTTTGGAAGTTTAAATTATGTTTGGACATGCATTTTATTTGAAAAAAATTTAAAATTTTGTGAGTGGGAGAACAAGTTTCACCCAAAAATACCCTAAACTAGATTTGGGAACTTGAAAAATAATTTCAGAAATTTTTCAAAAATAGATCATTAATCTATGAACAAACAATGTTTTCAAAAAAGATTTGAAAAAAAGCGGCCAAAACCTATGGCCAAACGGGAGCTAAATTTCATTGGGTAAAAGTAAATTACGAGGCTAATAGATTTTATGTTTTACCAAATATAAGTGGATCAGACAAAAAGGAAAATTTTGCCTGGATTTATATTTATATTATAAAAAAGAAAGTTACTGTTTTGAATAGTTCATTTATTTATTTAAAAGAAGAGCCTTGATCAACATTGTCTTGAAAGAATCCTATTACGAACAGGTAAGTAAAATTCTCCTTGGAAAGAGACATACCTATAATTGGAATAAAAAAACTATTCATATTGGAATGGAATAATTTATTCCTAAGGGATCATTGGTAGGGTGTATAAGAATAGTACTGAATATAGTGTATTAGTAATGGGATTAGTTATGTGATGTATTTAAAATAACATGCATAGCATAATTTTTTAAAAAAAATATTTGTTTACAAACATACCCTCCACATTCTTTAGTTTTGTATACTTTCTTTGCAAAGTTTTGGTTATTCATTCTTAAAAACGAAAAATAAAAAATTAAAAAATTATTACGAGAAAGTACACGTTGTGTGTATTTATGTTAGATTTTAACCTATTTTTTACTTTCTTACCCGAAATAGTCATTATCGTATATAATATGCAATATTTCTTCACCAATTAGACTAAAATAAAATACCCATCTTACTGACATTTCTCAACTCTCAGCATACCCAATTATCTTCCCTTTCTCTAACGCCTCTTTTTTCCCTATCTCTAACCCACCCAGATTTAGATCTTCAAAAATCTACAAATCTAATTAAATTTCTCTTTACTTTTTTAACAAGCAACCATAGTAGCTTCATTTATCTAAGGTCCATCCAAGCAAGTAGAGATCCACATTTAGATGATACAAATAAAAATATTCATATCCTTTTCACAAACCAAGAAAAGAATAGATAAAGATAGAAGTTCAAAAAGCCTACATATTCTGGAATAAGGTCCTCAAGAGCCCATCGATAGTGGAAAAAAGGGACATCAATATATAAGAAGAAGAAAAAAATCATAGTTGCACTCACAAATACTGTCCAAGATGGTTGATTACCCTCTTACTTAAAGGTCTCAGCATTATGTGAGAGGAGTGAACTAGTAGCAGCAGCAAACTCAACTTTATGCTGTTGTTTGTGCTTATTGTTAGGTGTAGACGAGTGTTATAAGTGACGTGTCTAACGATAAGGTAAACTTTTAGATCTGAGATCTAAATTGGGAAGCACTTGTGGTTTTTTGGCATTTTTTCATCTTCTTTTTTTTATGTGGTAATTTTGGTGTTAAAATAGAGGTGTAGTGGTAGACATAAGATGTTTTCTAATCTGCATACTGTGTAACTGGTATTTATATATACTTACATAATATTGTATAATTATGTATAAGTGTGTATATTTGTATATAATGCGGTGTAATTATATTTATTTTTAGAGTATAAGGGTGTATATATGTTGCTAGTATATAATAAGCCTCCATAATAATTTGACACTTCCTTCTCTTTTTCTTCTTTTTCTTACTTTTCTGGTATATATTATTATGCATTCCATATACAAATTTATACATCATTATACATGTACTGTATATGTACAGTTAAAATTGAAATTGAGATTTTTGTGTTTTCTTCATTTGTTTATCGAACAATCTATTTATAAAGTCGATTTTCTTGTTGATTTCTTTGTCAAATCATGAACTTACAGCAAATTTTTTGAACTCTTCTTTTTTATTTTTGCTATTTAAAACTTGAGGAATAAGAGATTTTTGGATTTTCGAGTTGAATTGGATGGTATGTATTTTAAATCAAACGCCAGACATACTTGTATAAATGCTTGAACGAGGAGAGGGACATGGATATTGTGCTAGGTGATTTGGACCACTCCGAGAGTTGTCGCAATTTTGAGTATTATAGGCATATAAGAGTTGAGGAGGTCGAAGGGGTTATACGGAGGATGAGCAGGGGACGAGCAAACGAGCCATGTGAGATTCCAGTGAAATTTTAGAAGAACGCGGGCAATGCAGGCTTGGAATGTCTCATTGGTTTATTAAATGTCATTTTTAGGAAGAAGAAGATGCCTGAAGAAGATGATCCCTTTGTACAAGGGTGATTTCCAAAACTGTAACGACCATATGAACATCAAGCGGCTAAGACATACTATGAAAGTCTGGAAGAGGGTGGTGGAGTTGAGGGTGAGGATTAGTGTGTCTATTTTCGAGAACCAGTTCAAATTCATTCCAGGGCATTCAATTACACAAGTTATTCACCTTATTAGGAGACTGGTTGAGTAGTACGAGGAGAGGAAGAGGGACTTACATATGGTGTTCATCAACTTAGAAAAGGCTTATGACAAAGTCACGATGGAGGTCATATGGAGATATATAGAGGTCAAAGGTGTATCTTTTTAATGCATTACGACGATTATGGACATGTATGATGGAGCTAAGACCCAGGTGAGGCCATTGGGAGGAGATTCGGCATATTTTCCAGTTTTGATGGGCCTGCACCAAGCATCAGCACTTAGCCCGTTTGTATTTTCCCAAAGCTCCGAAGATTCTATGAGAAATTGATAACGTCGAAGTAAGCTCTAACTCGTTATATTCAGACGGGGGGGGGGGGGGGGGGGGTTGGTGCGTAGTGGTGCGATGGTTATTTCTAGGATGACGATTGTACGTGTCGTTGGCGAGTAT